TAAATATTAGGTATAAATTTTTTTTTTGTTTTAAAATTAAAATCAGAACTTATTTTTTTTTATTTTAAAATTTTATATTTTTTAAAAATAATTATTAACTAATAATTATTTTTTGTCCTATAAAGACAAGTCCTTATTTATTTTCTTCATGAATTTTTTTTAATAAGAAAATTTCCAACAACCTACTGTTAGCAACAGATTTTTATTTTGGCCATTAACAACTATGGGGTTGGAAATAACATTTCCAAGGGAGCGGACCAAGACTACAAAAGTCCCCTCTTCAACGTAGTTGGCTATTTTAATTGGCGTCGCCACCTGCACCGCTGCAGCAACCGATTTCCCTTTCTCCGTCGTTTTAGACAACTCCGGCACTTGGCCCTAGGGTTTTCCTTCTCACCGTCCCGGCATTCATAATCCTCAGACTATCCCCCCCCACCCACTCTCTCTCCTCCGGAAAGTTTGATTTTTGGAATGAATTCGAATTCGGATCTGTTCGACCCGAGAACCGAAATGGACTCCGATTACGCGCGTGGTGCCTCCTCCTCCTCCGATGGTGATTTCGGCTTCGCTTTCAACGACAGTAATTTCTCCGACCGCCTTCTCAGGATCGAGATCATGGGTAGTCCTTCTGAGTGCCGTCTCGATGGGGAGGGCTGCACCAGCATCGTCGATTGGGTCCGCCATCGCAAGAGGCGTAGAGAAGATATCAAGAAAGAAAATGGTTTGTTTTTCTGAAAATTCATTTCCCCCCCCTAAGTTTCTCCTATTTGACTGTTTATATTAGAGGAAATTGGTAATTTGAAGCCCTTTGAGGTCGTTTCATTGTGTAAAACCTGCTCTCTCTTTTTGATCTTTTGTCACCTGAACCTTGAGGAAGAAAGAGTGAATTGAAAAATTAGGTCTTTGTTTTTGGTATTCTGAGTACTAATTCTGGTCTTTTATAAAAAGCTCTGAAAGGGGAAGGATTTCAGTACTAATTTTGAATTGCTAAGAATTTTCTGAGAGAATGTGTTGTAAAAGCTGTACGATGATTTCATGGACATTATTGGTGGAGTGGGGAGGTTTTTAGCTGTGGGAAGCTCAGAAAGACAGAAACAGAGACTTCATAGCTTAATGACCAAAAAAAGGCTCTAGCTTTGAAAGGATTTAAATTACATTGAAACTGAATCATGTGAAAATGGATTCCCTTGAATGTGTATGTCACATGGTAGCAAACTTGACAATGTTCTCAATCTCGTGTATGAATCTTTGTTTTCATTCTGTTGTATTATGGTGTTTGGCTCTTGATTTACAAGATATCCACTTAGGTGGATATGCACACTTTTCTCTGACAATGAATATGTAGTATGTTTATATGTCATTTGCTTTCTAGTTCTATTGATGTGTGTTGGATTTTTTTCAGCTTTGGACCTCACTCTAGGAGCTGAGGAGCAGATTTTAGGTTGCAATCAGCCTGATATGGATGATGGTTTGGGTCTTGAAGATCAAGATGAAGAAGCTGAAGCAATGGTTGAAGAGGCATCAGGTAGTGAATTCACCCCATGCATTATTTAATGCAACTTAAGTTCTCCTTTGTTGACCCATTTTATTGCCATATATCAGTTATCTCTTATCTTTTACGCAAGTTATTTTGGATGTGGCTTGAGTGTGCTTTGGCTCACTGCAGGCGATGAAGCTGCAAATAGCAATGAATCGTCATGGAGCATGGATTGTTCTACTGTTCTAAGAGTTAAAACATTGCATATTAGCTCTCCTATTTTAGCTGCTAAAAGTCCATTTTTCTACAAGGTAGACAGCTTTCTTTTGTAGATTGTGCTTCTAATATTTTTGTTACCAGAATGCCCTCCCTGAAATCTTATCGTTTATTTGTTTGTTTGTTTATTGTTGATTGAGTGTAGCTTTTCTCAAATGGGATGAGAGAGTCTGAGCAACGACATGTAACTCTAAGAATCAATGCCTCAGGTATAGATAAACACCAAATTAAGTTCCTTGATTATTGTCACTTAACGTTTGAAACTTTTTACTTGGTCATCCTTTCATAATGTTATGGACCTAAAAGCAAATTTGTTAAGACAAGTTAATTCACATTTCTTAAATTTGTTTTTTTGAACAGAGGAAGCTGCGCTCATGGAGCTTCTGAATTTCATGTACAGCAGTACCTTATCTGTCACCGCAGCTCCAGCTTTGCTTGATGTGCTTATGGCTGCAGACAAATTTGAGGTTGCTTCATGCATGAGACATTGCAGCCGGCTGTTGCGGAATATGCCTATGACACCTGAATCTGCTTTGCTTTATTTGGATCTTCCGTCTAGTGTATTAATGGCAGAGGCAGTGCAGCCATTGACTGATGCAGCAAGGCAGTACCTTGCTGTCCGCTACAAGGACATAACTAAGTAAGTTTCTCATCTGCAAGACTCGTGTTTTCCTAACCATAACATTCAGTAGTTAGTCACTGCAATATGCTTAATGTCCCATCTGCTTTAACTGCTTGTGAAGAGAATTGGTATTTTGGTACATATGATGTAATTTTCCAGACCTGTTCTTTTCTTGATCCTTGCTTGGTTCATGTGCCACTAGACTAAGATAAGAAAGTGGATTTAAACCTGAATAAAAATTATGCATGTGATGCTTTGAGAAACTTATTTATGTGTTTTCTTGTGCATATTTTACCAGGTTCCAAGATGAGGTGATGGCACTACCACTAGCTGGAATTGAGTCAATATTAGCCAGTGATGATCTCCAAATTGCATCTGAAGATGCTGTGTATGACTTTGTCTTGAAGTGGGCCAGGTCCCAGTATCCCAAACTGGAGGAGCGACGGGAAGTGCTAGGCTCACACCTAGCCCGCTTTATTCGTTTCCCATACATGACCTGCCGGAAGCTTAAGAAGGTTTTAACCTGTAATGATTTTGATCATGAAGTTGCATCCAAGCTTGTGCTTGAGGCCCTCTTTTTCAAGGCAGAAGCCCCTCACAGGCAACGAAGCCTGGCTGCAGAAGAGTCAGCCACCTTGAACCGTCGATTTGTGGAGCGAGCCTACAAGTATAGGCCTGTTAAAGTGGTGGAATTTGAACTTCCTCGCCAGCAGTGTGTTGTGTACCTGGACTTGAAGAGAGAGGAGTGTGCCAATCTCTTCCCATCGGGACGAGTATACTCTCAGGCATTCCATTTAGGTGGACAAGGGTTCTTCCTGTCTGCCCATTGCAACATGGACCAGCAGAGCTCTTTCCATTGTTTTGGGTTGTTTTTGGGCATGCAGGAAAAAGGTTCAGTAAGTTTCGCAGTGGACTACGAATTCGCAGCAAGGATAAAGCCAACAGACGAGTTTGTTAGCAAATACAAAGGCAACTACACATTCACTGGAGGCAAGGCAGTTGGGTACAGGAACTTATTCGCCATAGCCTGGACTTCTTTCATGGCTGATGACAGTATTTACTTCATAAATGGCGTCCTCCACCTTAGAGCTGAACTAACCATCAGGCACTAACTTCTCTCCATAAATTGGGAGGTTTCCTTTTGAATCGGCTCAGTAGCAACTAACCATTTTCTCTTTTTCTTGAGCAAAACTCGATATTTATGAAGCAAGTAGAAACAATTTGGGCTTGTAACTTAATCTTGGAGTTTGATTTTTGATTAAGAAAAAACACCTTCTTTTCTCCCTGAATTTCTTGGAAAAACATTGTAAATTCTGATTCCTGGCCAAGGCCTTGGATTGAATTTAGTTAGTTGTATTGAGCCTTGATTTCCAGCGGGCCCCTTGCCATGAATCATTGAATCGTCAACTTCATATTTCCTCGGGTCCTACTTCAACCCCGGATTGTTTATGATAAACGTTTGCTTTTGACCGTTAGGCAGGTGGTGTTGTTGTAATAAAATTATTTGTGTTTTTAACTATTGATTTTAATTTTAATTTTTAATTTTGGTTCAGTGTTTAGAGAAAAGCATCATTAATATGTATTTTTAGAAAAATTCATAAACAAAAGTAGAATATTAGACTGTTAAGCAATTAATGATCAAAGTTAACAGTAAAATTGATGGCATCCAATTAAGGATGACATTGAACAAAAAAGGGGATAGTAGAGGGATAACATTGAATATTTCCTTAGTAGAGGGATGGTAATGAACATTTTCACAAAGTACGAGAACTACGGTTGGCTTTAACCCGTGAATCATTGAATCGTCAACTTCATATTTCCTCGGGTCCAACTTCAACCCCGGATTGTTATAATAAACGTTTGCTTTTGACCGTTAGGCAGGTGGTGTTGTTGTAATAAAGTTATTTGTGTTTATAACTATTGATTTTAATTTTAATTTTTAATTTCGATTCAGTGTTTATTTGTTTTATTTTTAAACAATATAAAAAAATAAGGACAAAAAATACTTTAATTTATATTTTAAAAATA